TGCTGACTCAGGCAAGAAATAAACCAATTTTAGAGGCTATAGATTGCTCATGTTTCTTCTTCTATAACGTATCATCCAAGGTTTAGATTACACTTTTCCATTCAAATAGTTCTGCTCCTGTGCAATCACTCAAATGGCTACTTGAATAATTTAGAAGTAGCAGAAATTATCACTCTTTGCGTAACTCACTGTTCAAGCTTCTTTTGGAAGGCTTGCAGCAGCTTTATCTAGACCTAATACCAGTGAATTTGCAAATAATTTGGCATCATAGTCTTATTTGGTTGGGGGAGTGGAGAAGATGCCAGCCATATTCAAGATGGTCTTCTCATCTGGAATCAGCATATTCCATTTTGGGAGGGCATTTTGCACTTCTTACTCATTTCATTAAAAAAAAATGCACTGGAAAGTTTACCTGATCTCTAAATCCCTTCGTTTTCTGCTATTCCATTAGTTGAGGAGAACAATATGTTCTACTTGTAAAGCTGTAGGAAAGCTGTATTATAATTTCTGAATTTTGCTCCCTTTTAGTTTGGTCTTCTTTGGCCTACAGGTACTAGCAGTTAACAGACCCACGTTCAATATATTGTTAGCTTGTATACTCCTGTGGCACATGCTGGATGGGTTTTTTGGCAGAGCCCTTCTCTCAACCTGCAGTGAAGTGATGCTAAAAATATTAGCAAATTAGCACCATGAAGCTTGCCAGCTTATCCACCAGAGTCTTGCTCCCTCTCTCACTGCTGTAATTAAAACTAATTATTTCCTAAAACATAGTAATACATGGATATGTGCAATAATCATTTTGTAGTGGGCAATCTGCAAAGTGTTTTTAAAGGCCCCCCCCCCCCCGTTTCCCTTTGGCTTGTTCTACCACATGTTGGCTGCTTCTTGGAATGCTGCATTACCTTGTTGCAGAAAAGCAAAACAGCCCAGCAACCATCGGCTGAAGCTTCTGGGTCTGTAATCATTGCCGTATTTCGCTAGCTTTTTTCTTTTTCTTTTGGCACACAGGATTTTTACATGGATTGTAAATAGATACCAAAATAACCTGTTTGATTGTGTTTTTACTGCAGGATCCAATCTGGGCTCTAGCATGAGTCCCAAAAACTCAGAAGACAAAACTTCTGTTCCAGATTGGGTCGGTCACCGGGACCAGAGGTTTCCTCTTCTGAGCTTTTGGACATTCGTGCTGGAGCCATTCCTCAGGGAGCTTCTCCCTAGCAGAGTGAGAGAGAAGTTCCCTGAGGATGGGCTCCAGCACGAATGTCTGAAAGCTGAGAAGACGAAACGTCTGGTCCCAGTGACCGGATTGGATCCTGCAACATTTTCCCGGGACACCTTCACCTTCTGTTATGAGAGTTTTTGCCATATGTTGAAGAAAGAATGAAAAGAAAGTAACTACTAATAGCATTTGCTGTGAGACTTTGATATTATAGGAAACACTGAATGAATTACACCTCCATCTACAGTAGTAAAACTCTTTTTATCTATAACCTTGAACTGGGTAAAACAGTATGTCATAGGGCAAAACTTTGTTAACAAAGGTACCTTTACTTGCTGGAGAGAGGAGATGAGGGGAAGAAGGAAGAAGGAAGGAAGGGAAAGAAAAAAGAAGGAAGGAAGGAGAGAGAGAGAGAAAGAAAGAAAGAAAGAAAGAAAGAAAGAAAGAAAGAAAGAAAGAAAGAAAGAAAGAAAGAAAGAAAGAAAGAAGCATTTCTAATCTCGTTGCATCTTCCCACAAGGAAATTCATTGGGGAAACAGATAGGAAGTTGGAACTGCAGCACCTCTTTTATCCCCCATGAACTCTTCTTCAGCACTGTCTCTGCATGTCCTGCACAGCACATCTTGCATATCTCTGTGCACACTTCCCAACCCGCACCCTTCATCAGTTCACCCTCTCCAACTCACACAGCATCACTTGTGAACACCAACACATCCTTTCTAAGGATGTGCTCCTCCACATATCCCCTCACTCCTTGCCCCACTGAGCATCAGCCATTTACCTGCCTGTTGGCCTTGGGCTTTCAACTTTCTGCTGGCATCTCCACTGACTTTCTCCTGCAAGGTTCCTATAAAGTAAATGGGGAAGCTAGAAGAAATTCAAGCGAGGGGGAAAATGTCAGAATGACAGGAGGAACAGTGAGGGAAGGAGCGAGGAAGGAAAGAAGGGAGGAAGGAAGGAAGGAAGGTTGGTTTGCAGTGCTTATTGCCAGCTTCCCATGAGAAAACTCAATGGGGAAGCCAGCAGGAAATCGGAAGTCACTCCTGCTCTCCCTGCTTTTTGCCCTACCCACAGTCATTCTTTTCCTGTTTTTAGGTAAGGAAATATATCTGAAATGATGATCCAACAGGGCACAGGTTGTCTAGTATACACTACAGGTAGTCATCAACTTATGACCAGTCCTTAGCAACTATTCAAAGTCGCTATGAATCCCTCAAAAGGTACTGACAACTCAGTTCTAAAGTTCATCCCTCCCCTCGGTGCAGTCACCTGCACATTTTGGGTGCTTGGCAACTGCCTGCAACTGGCCCTCATTTATGGGCATTTGCAGCATCCCATAGTCTCATGACTGTGATTTATGACTTTTTTTTGCCAAAAAACAGCATTTACTTTCAGTTTCCTGCAAAACAAAGCTCCAGAAGCAAACAGTGGGTTCGTTTAATGACTGTTGAATTGCTTAAAGCCAGTGGTTTTGCTTAATGAATGTAGTGATTCACTTAATTACCACTACAAAAAAATAGGTCAATCATGTGGTTGATCCACTTTATAACCATCATGACTTACGAACTTAATGGGCAATCTCCATTAAGATAAGTTAACTTTTATTGTCATTTTTTTACTGGCACATATTAAAAATGAAATTCTGTTGCCTGCTCTCAAAAGTGTACACATACATAACACACATATGAACACACTATATACAACATATGTATATACATATAAGTAACATATAAGTAACGTATAAATATTAATCACTGTCCATCTTTAATACATAACAGAAGGAGGAAGCTTTAGAGTTCACAAGGTTAGTACTATATGGAACAAAACTGTGACTGAATCTGGATATTCTGCTTCGGATACCACGGAGCCTCCTCCCATAAGGTAACAAGGAAAACAGGTCATGAAGAGGATGTGTAGTGTCCCAGACAATCCTGCGGACCCTGCTCAAGCAATGCTTATGTGTTATGTCCTAGATAGAAGGGAGTGAACTGCCAATAATCTTTTCTGCCATCCTCACCACTCTGCACTACCTTCCTGTCTGCAGCAGTAATGTTTCCAAATCAGACTGTCATGCAATATGACAGGATGCTCTCGATTATCCCTCTATAGAAAGTGGTAAGGACAGGGGAAGGAAGATGTACTTTCCTCATGCAGCACAGAAAATGCAGGCGCTGTATGCCCGCTTCACCAGTGTCGCGCTGTTGAGCAACCAAGACAGCCTTGGTCGCTCAACCAAGGCTGACTTGGTCAACTTATGACATTACAGTCATAAGTCGAGGACTACCTGTAAAGTTGTCAGTTATTTCTAGAAAATGTTTGTAAGTATAAGAGGAGTTGCTTTTTTTAATTTGTGCTTTAGGATTAAGCACATATAGTCACAACTATATCTTGAATTTTACACAGGTGTGTATCTGTTGGTGTGTATCAATCAGTCATCCATACTGGTACCTGCCCCTAATCCAAAACATGGAATGTAGGAAAATCATAGGAGAAAGAGGCAAAAATAGAAGAACCATGAAAATAGAATGGAAATGGGATTAGAAGGTTGACTCAGGAATGCAGTTTCAGGCTATGGATATTCATCAAGAAAATAACTTAAACACTTCTGCTGTTTAAATATGTGAATATACTATAAAAAGAAACGCAAGATATAATTTTGATTCAACTATTACTTTTCCTCTTGAAGTTGGAAATAGGAAATTTCCAAGATGAGCATCAATGGCCTTATAACTTATTGCTCACATTTCTGAGGCATACTTCTCTGATGTTGCTGCATTAGTGTTACTTAAACAAGAATTATCAATATTACACTACACTGTATTCCCAACTGGCATCTTTAGAGCTGAATGTTCATGTCAGCCACAAAAGACATCTATGAAATAATTTACCTGCTAAAGTATGTAGCGCAGTTAAGTCTATTGCAGGCCAGGCGTTTGTTAACTAGAAGGTTGGTGGTAGCCTATTACAAAGTGCTTACTAATGTAATTGTAAGGCTTTCATTCTACTTCCGAAACTGTAATGCATTGCAAATTCCAATTCAGTGCCTTAATCTATTAATTGTAATAGTTGATGTGACATTTATTTGTATCTGTGTCTCCTAGTAAAGTCCTATCTGATCTGTAAAGTGATTCATGGATGCAAAAGTTTGATACACATGCCCAGTTTTCTTGCAAGAAAAGTCTTGAGGTTAGGAATGAGAATAAAGGGAGGAGTAAATCTTTGGAGTATCAGAATCACTTAAATCAGTTTAAATAAACAAATAACACATTTCTCTTTTATTACAGTCCTAGCTTTCTTGATCTCCAGTGCTTTAGTGTGCTGTTTTGTTCTGTTCAAGAATACTCAGTATTTTGACATTTATTGTAAATGCATCGAATCACAATAGCTTTTCAGTAGTACTGATGTTTCATAATGGGTGACTTAATTCTGTAGGTGAAAGTAGCATGACTGATAAAAAAAAATTCTCATAAAATTGAACATACTTATATTTGAGCTAACTCATCTAAAGCTTCAACAGTGTTTGCCAGCTCACAAATAAAAGATGGGCCTAATAAAGTTGGTCGTCATTTTCCAGAATAAATATGGCATATATGGCTGTAAAGAGTTGTGCAACTGCTTCCCCAATGAATGTTTCATTCATTTTCAAAATCTATTTGCTGAGATACAAAACTCTTCCCGGCTTCCATAAGAGAAAGAACACCCACCTTTTCTGACCGTCTTGTGCCATCAATTGGGGACAGAAGGAAGTTATCCTTAATCATGTCTCCTGTTTTCAATTAGCACCTATGGGTCTTGCAGACTTGATGACTCAAGGCGAGTCCAAATTGCCTGTTCCTCTCAAACCAGATGGAAAAGAAGAAGGACCTTCCCAGACTGAGAGCAAAAAGGTACTTCCTTCCCTTGCATGTATTCTTGGTTTGGCACAGCAGAATTCTGTAGCATTGTCCTTCGTTCTCTGATTTGAGCTTGCGCCTTCAGTTCTTTCCTGCATGTTTTTCTTCCCATTCATGTGCAATCTATTATTTGACTTTTATTTTTTTCCTTATCTGGATCTGAAAGTTACTAGTTCTTATGGCATTACCTTGGGAGGTGGGGAAATAAAGCTCAATAAAATCTTCAGGGGTGTGTGTGTGTTTCAGTTTAATCCCTGAATGGGAAAAAGTGGATCTTACCTTAGCCTTGGTACTTGGCAGCCATCTTTCCTCTGTCTTCCGTTATAGCTTCCCGTTTTGGCCGTTTCAACAGCCACAGCATTCTTTAATCCTTTGCTTTATTTCCTTATTTGATAAAAATAAGGTGACCAGCTTTCTTTATTTTATTTTTTTCTTCTTTCCCCCTTTCTTTCTTTCTCTTTCTCTTTATCTCATGAGGGGAAACCCCTGCTTGATGCTCCATTTAGCTTGACGAAAGCATGGTGGCATAGCAGCTTAAGCTAAGCATCCAGCAAAATTGCAAGATTACATGATGAATGTTGTTTTAAGGCATATGTTTATTATACGTCTGTGTTTTTTTCTCTGTGTGTCTCTGTTTATATTTCATATGGTTAAAAAAAAAATGGTCAGTGTGTTAAATTGGATGTATTTTTTTTTCCTTTTTAATAAAGTTTGCCCTGCCTTTGTCCTTTTTTTATTCCTCTACCACAGGATAGCTACAGCTCTCAGGGTATTTCTCAGCCCCCAACCCCAGGCAACCTGCCAGTCCCTTCCCCAATGTCCCCAAGTTCTGCTAGCATCTCCTCATTTCATGGAGATGAAAGTGATAGCATTGGCAGCCCAGGCTGGCCAAAGACTCCATCAAGCCCTGTAAGTGGCTCTGGTTTTTGCTTTTTTGGTTTTTTTTGGTATTTATTAATATTTTAATGCTTGCTTGTCTGTTTTATAGATTCTTTTGTTCATTATTTATCCGCTAAAGCAGGGGTAGTCAACCTTGGCTCTTTTATGACTCGTGGACTTCAATTCCCAGAATTCCTGAGCCAGCTGGCTCAGGAATTCTGGGAATTGAAGTCCACGAGTCATAAAAGAGCCAAGGTTGACTACCCCTGCGCTAAAGGATTTGTTTAATGTAAGCAGAGGCTAAATTCTGCTCTTGGTTCTTTACGTGCAGCTCATCCCTTCTTTCGTTCAGATTTAGGTGGGAGTTGAGCTTGCTTGACCGAGGGCAAAATTTGGCCCAGTCCAGTTTTTAAAAAACAATAACAAGAAAAAAAAATGACATTTGTTGAATGTGTTAAAGAAGCTTGCTTTACTTTGTAATATAGCCGATGTTGTGAAGAAAATCTTTCTCTCGTAATGCATCAGCTTACAAAGCATGTTTTCTGTGTTGATCAGGACATTCTGTCTCAGTTATGGGGTCCAAACTCTTAGCAGACTAAAGGGATTTTCAATTGGTCATAAATAGCACAGCAATCTAAAAATTCAGTTCTTCTGGTTTAAAAACATTGTTGTTCTTACTTGTGTGCATTACAGAACAACATAGATAATAATTTCTGAGCAGCCAAACGTACTTGCCACATTAGAAAGTTATTTTTGGAATAGGCTAACTCTTACAAGATGTAAATATAGTTTTTAGACAGCATTTTAACAAAAACATTGTTTGTTGCAAAGATTTCAGATACCAAAGCTTAACTAATTTTCCTCAACTACTTTATATTGTAACATTAAGGAAAATATTTCTGGTTTTAAGAAATCTTTGCTGTGTGATAACAGGAATGCTGAAAGGTGTCACTAATTTGCTATAAAGTTCAGGAGAGGGCTTTAACAATGTCTTGATTTTTGTGTGACATTTAATGGAAATAACATGTGAGAAGACAAGAATGAAAGACAATGTATAAAATGAAACATTATTTCTCTGCAATATTTTCTTTTTTTAAAATTATGTATTTTCACCTTGTAATGCATGAGTAAAAAAGTGTTTAGAGGCCTCCAAAATCAGCATTCCAAATCTAGCTCATGCCATACTGCCATCTTTAAAAAGTAATTTACCTATATCAGGGGTAGGCAACCTCGGCTCTTTTATGACTCATGGACTTCAACTCCCAGAATTCTGGGAGTTGAAGTTCATGAGTCATAAAAGAGCCGAGGTTGCCTACCCCTGACCTATATAGTAAAAAAAAAAATGAAAAAAGTGCTGTGACCCACTCCACATAATTGCTCACTTTTGGCAAAAAAAAAAATCAAGGAATATTCGTACATGATGACATGTACAGAAGATCAGCCTCTCCAGCTTAATGTTCTCAAATGTAATATAGCTGATGTTATGAAGAAAATCACAACTCCTGGAATTCTCCACCCCTTTCTTACTGGGAGTTCTGGCAATTGCATTTTGGGCATACTATACGTAATCCTCGACGTACGACCACAGTTGAGCCCAAAATTTCTCTTGCTAAGTGAAATAGTTGTTAAGTGAATTTTGCCTCATTTTACAACTTTTCTTGCCACAGTTGTATAGTGAATCACTGCAGTTGTTAAGTTAGTAACATGGTTGTAAAGCGAATCTGGCCTCCCCATTGACTTTGCTTGTCAGAAGATCACAAAAGGGGATCACAAGATCCCGGGATACTGCAACCGTCATAAATATGAGCCAGTTGCCAAGCATCCAAATTTTGATCATGTGATCAAAATACGTGTATAAAATAGTCACTGCTGCTGTAACTTCAAACAATCACTAAACGAAAGGTCATAAGTCAAGGTCTACCTTTATTTTATGAA